CTGGGTGCCCCTTCAGCTAGGGTTTTATTTTATTTTTTGTAATATATTTTATTGATTTAAAAAAAAACATAAATCACTTAATAATTGGTGAACAGTGTATTGTCTGGATTACATTTGTAAAACAATCATTAACAATTAATTTCTATAATCCATATTCCACATAATAATTTTAGTTGATTTCCTCTTTCCCCAAAATATCCTCTTTTGCAAACATTGAATTAATACAATTCTTATTGTTTTGATAAATAACAATTAAATATATATTTTTTTCCAATATTCCTAAAAATAATAATCATATCAGTATAATATTTCTTTTCTATTCAGTCATTCTGGTTGTCTTATCATAGACCCTGTTACAATCCTTATTTTAGTTTAATTCTCCAACCAAATTCTAGATATTCTTACTGGTGAAGATTTTCTCAAAAATTAATTACATTTACATTTACAAATTTAACTCTATTTTTTCCGTATAAGCCGTCTCACACTTTTACATTTCTTAAGAAATAGATAAAACAATGAAAAAAAAAGAAAAAAGAGCAAGTGTAAAGAAACATAAGAAATAACATACTACTTAAAATATATATCCCTCCTGGGCTAATATATATTTATTTTCTCAATTTCTTATTCTTTTTAATCATAATTAAGAATATATTTAATCTTTAATCTTTAAACATTCCATTCAATACCTCTAGTCATCTAGTCCTTTAACTCTTGTTCAAACATTTTTTTCATAATTTTCTTAAATTCATTTAAATATCTAAAACATTTCCTTTATTTAAATCATTTCAACTTTTTTTTATTACTCATATCAAGAAAAAGAACACAAAAGAGAAAAAAAGCATACTATGTTATTTAGAGAATTCATCCCTCTTAGAATAGCATATATGTTCCAAAATTGTTCTATTTTTTAACTATACTCAAACAAACATTTCTTTTTAAGGTATTCTCTCTATAAGTCCCATCATCTATTTTCTTGATTTCCACCTTAGTCTTTTTCCTTTGCTCAGTATCTTTCTTGATCGATGTATTTTGCTGAATCAAAAGGTGTTTCTGTATGTTCGTAAGTGTTGCTGTAGACATAAAAAGTAAATCAGTATCTTTATTAAGGGCATTTTCCCACTCATTTTTACTGGGAATCTTTTTCCTTCTTTTTCTCTCTGCTTTTCTTGTTGCTTTTTGTCTCTCCAGTTCTAGTGTTGTTCCTGGTATCTCTGTAGTACATTTTATCTTTTTTCTTGGCCTAAAGATTATTTTGTAGTGTTGAAATATAAGTTGTTTTTTTCTAAATCTAGTATTTCTTGTAAAAAAATTTCCACTTGGATTAAATCATACTCCTTTGTTTTGTAGAATTCCATCTTTAAGTCTCTATCCTTGAATTTATGTTCAGTCATCTGTTTTGTCTGTTCCTTCTCTGCTGTATTTTCCTGAAGGTTTTTTTTTTTGGTATAAAATTAAATTGAAGATGAGTTGATTTATATTTTCAAAGTTATTCTGGATTTTGTTGTGATTTGAGATCATTGTTATTTGAATTAGTTGCAACATATCATATATCTCCTCTTGAAAAATATTCATTTTTTCTTGATAAATATTTCTTATAAATCTCTGATTTTCCATGATGACCAAAAGTCCAGATTCCCCCCCCCCCCCCGGAAATAGCTTTGGATTCAAAATTGAATAAAGGCTTATAGTTCAGAGAGTTCAAAAAAGTTTTTTTTGTTCCCTCAGGTTTGTTAGTCTCATTTTATCTACACAGCTGTTCTCTATTGTTAAAGCTTTGAAGATCACAAGTAGAGATTAGTTTTTTTCCCAGATTTTACCATGATTGTCATAATCCTCATCCACCAGTAGGTGTCAGCACCGGTTCATTTTTATTTGTCCACGAAAGGTTTAATTCGCTTCCGTGAGCAAAAGGGTGGGGCGAAAACCCCCTCCACTCTCGGAGGTTTTTTTGAGGGGGGGAATTTCTCCCCTTCGGGAAAGTTGATAGGTAGGATAGAGAAACTCAATGTTCTTACCCAGATTCAAGCACACTGTTTACGATCAGCTTAAAATAGTGCTTTTAACTTCGGTTGCTCACAGCTTGGGCTGGACTCTGGAGTTAGGCTAGCCTTTCTCCTGTTGGTTTCTGGAGACCACCATCTCTCCGAGGTCCCTGGGACTTCCTTCCTTCATTGCCACCTCTCTGGGGTGGCTTCTGGCCCATTTAGGGTCCCGTAACAGGAAGAAACTCAGCTGGAGGGCACGGAGTCCTGAATCCCTCAACTGCTTCACTACGCGCAGAACCGGAAGTCCTAGCCCTTTCAGCTAGACTTTTAATTCCTCGAAGGACTCTCTCACATATTCCATGGTCTGCTTTAAGACTACTTCCACCAGTTCAATTTTGGATCCACTTTCTCCTTTTCAGGAGGGGTAGACTTCAGATTTTTCTTTTATCTTTTTTCTTTCCTCCGTCTCACGTGATGGTCATCTTCTGAGCCCTTCCTTCCCAGTCCTCTTTCTTTCCAACCCTGAGTAACCACCTAGCTCTATCGCCTTCTACCAAGGGTCCAGCCTCTTCCAGGTCCCTGGAAGTGCCTTCCTTGGGGTCTGCCAAGTGATGTCTTCACTCCAAGCCTCTATTTCGCCCTCTTCCATTCTGCTGATAGGAAGGGGCAAGTCAATTGCGACCCACCTCAGTAGGGCAGCTGCCTCTCTGGGTTGGGCACTATGCAGACTTCACCTTATGTAAGGACCTACCTCAACTAGGCCTCCCAACAAAGCAGAACTCTTGAAACATGCATTGTCTCAAAAGGAACTTTTATTAGGGGCTAGTGACAGCAGGGAAAACAAGGCAAGGTCTGATGAAAAACCTGCACAAGCATTATATTAAAAGCAATATTTGTTACTCCTCCCCCAGGGTTCATTTGAATCCCAGCCAATCCACAGGTGGCATATTGTTTTGGTAACTGGCTCCTTTGGTGCAATCTTCAAGGTCTCTCTCTCTTTTGTTTCTATCTGGCTCCAAATGCGAAATGTCTCCTAGGTAAGAGTGATGCGTTCCTTCTCCTGGGGAAAGGGCAGCGTGGCAAGATAGTGCAAAGCATCCCCAAAGTATCCCCCCTCCCAACAGAATGGCAATCCCCAAAGAATGGTTACAAAAGCATGAATACTATAGGAAAAGAGGCAAAAGATTTATTTGGGGATCTGACACTACTGCTGCAAATGCCCTGTGCTACAACCTTGTTAAAATCCTGCTTGAATTTCAGGATGAACCTTTTATAGCCAGCCCCTAGATACCAGAGGGATCCTTACAGCAGCAGCATGTAACCTTCCCTGCCAATTTCCCCACTGATGTTCTTGGCAAGCTGGCAGAGAAGATTGCATATGGCTATCACATGATTGCAGGGTGCTTGGGAATCAGTTGTAAGTGCAAATGGCTCGCCTAGGCCCCAGATTGCAATCACCTGACTGAGGGAGCTGCAACAGCCATTGTCAGTTGCCAACTCATGCTTGCTTGTGCTCTGCTGCTATTCAGTGACAGACTATCATGAAGTGTGGAGAGGAGGAATGAAAGGGGAATGCTTCAGGACAGTAAGTGCTGTTCTCCTCAAGACGCTGCCTCAAGGTCACCCAGCTTGGATTAACTGTTATGAAAACATCTTGACCAAGCCTGATTGGTTATAGTGGCATGGGCAATGAGAGACAGTTTAGGGAGGGAAAGTAAAACTTAGGGATTTTGGCTTGCAATTTTCAGTTGTGGCTTTGCACTACTACAATACACTTGACCTCGAATAAACTATAACTTTCTCAACAAATGGAGCCAAGGATCGTTTTTATTTAGAGGTGTAAATTGTGGCAGATCCGACAGTCATAAATTTAGGCTTAGATCATAAGCCCCTTTGTTCGGGGCCATTGTAATTTCAAACAACATTGAATGAATAGCGATTAAGCAAGAACTACCTGTATTTTAGAAAGCAGTTGTGAAGAATATTTTTTGTTCTATTTATCTATAAATCATTAAAAATATAGAATTATTAAAATAGGACCAAATCCACATCCATTTGTGATTTGAAGCTTTATAAAATGAGTCTACCAATATGGATATTATTATAACATCATTCTGGTAAAAGTCATTCCTCCGATCCTATATATGGCTTTTCTAATGAGGTTAATAAAAGCTAGTAAGTTTGATAGGGCCTAAGGTAGAAAATAACAGTGTTAGAAAGCATTATATGTTCTTCATAAAAAAAACTCCACAAGACTAAATTTTTCATTCCATTTTTCAGAATTATTTGGTTAGCTTGCATATTTGTTTTGAAATATTGCTACAAAAAGGGGTAACACACTTGGTTTTAAGGCCGCATAAGAAGCCCTGTCAGGTCCCCATAGATCCCTGTCGCGCTGATGTCATTGTGGTGGAAGGGGGGAACCTCCGGGCTTCCTGTGTTGTATCTATTTTACTTTATTCCTCCTTTGCTTTGATGTATCTTCCTGGGAATGGAAAGGAGGAAGGGTGAGCCTAAAGCCCTTTGTTTTGTATCAACTCCAGAGAAACAATCTCGCAGAACCTAAGAACAAATTCTTATCACCTTCTCAGCTCAGCGTTCTCATAACACCTTCGCACCTCTGGATTGACTCCCTATAGGGTTTTGAAGAGTGGGTTTTAACCTAATGTTTTTGCATGGGAATTTTAGATCCTGCCTGCTTTCTCTGCAGTCACTATCTCTCATTAAAAGTTCCTTTTGAAATGCTGCTTGCTTCAAGAGTTCTGCTTTCTTGAGGAAATAGCTGAGACAGGACCTTACAAGCCCAGAAAGTCTATTTTAACTTTTAGCTAGAATTTTAATATGACATTGTTATCTGTATATTTAATAGAAAGGATCATTTAAATAATATGATGAGATAGTTCTTACTATACTCCACAATAGATTTATTCTAATCAGTCTAAGCAAGCAGATCTCATGTTAAAAAGGAGGTACTGTATTTGATCAAATATAATTTTTTAATTCATTTTTGAACAGATTATCCTTTAGACTATGATGTAAGAGAAGAAAAATCTTCAAAAAACCTACTTGGTTCTGCCACAAGTAAGTATACTAAAATCTACTTTTCATCTTACAAAATTTAGGAAAAGTGTTAAAACCTGGTTGCTTTATGAAAGGCTGTGGGTCAATATACAAAGAGATTTGGAAAATTGGGAGAAGCTGCAATTATCTCTTTTGGGAAGAATTGCGGCGATCAAAATGAATGTGTTGCCAAAGTTTCTTTTTTTATTTCAAATGATACCTATTTTAAAGAATGAGGTTAATTTAAATGAATGGCAGAAAGGTATTAATAAATTTATCTGGGCAGGGAAAAAACCAAGAGTAAAACTTAAAATTATACAGGATATTCGTGAGAGAGGTGGACTCAAGGTACCGAATTTGAAATTGTATTATGATGCTGTGGTTTTAACATTAATAAGTGATTGGGTTAATTTAACAAATGTAGAAGTACTCCTCTTGGAGGGCTGGGATTTACTTTTTGGATGGCATGCCTATTTAATTTTTAATAAAAAGGTTGATAGGGTTTTTAAATCTCATATTATAAGGACTTCTTTACTTCGGGTTTGGAAGAAATATTATAGAAGTGATTTTAAAATTCCATTATTGGCTATACCATGGCATGCGATAGAAGGGATAAGGAGAGGAGTCAAGATGGATAGTGCTTCTTATGCACAACTACTTAGATGGGATGGTAAAAATTGGCAATTAAAATCTTTGGAAGATTTAACACAAGAAAATATTATTTATTCATGGTTTCAGTATAGACAAATAGTGGAGAGGTGGAAGATAGATCGCAATGTGGGTCTGCTTAGAGAAGATGAGAATTTGTTAAAACAAATAAAAGATCAAAGACGAACTCATATTAAAAGAATTTACGGGGTGTTAGTAGAATTGGATTCAGAAGCAGAATTAGTTAAAGAATGTATGGTTAAATGGGCACAAAATTTTGAGTAACCGGTCCTATTACATACTTGGGAGATTATTTGGGTGAGGAACGTCAAATTTACACAAGCCCAAAATTTAAGGGAAAATTTTTATAAAATGTTTTATAGATGGCACCTTGATCCACAAAAAATGTCTCGTATGTATCCTGACTTGCAGCCTAAATGTTGGAGATGTGGGTGTTTGGATGCTACCTATTACCACATTTGGTGGTCATGTAAAAATATAAAAGCTTTTTGGATTAAGATATGGTGGAATATTCAAAGAATTTTTAGAAGAAGGATAAAATTTACTCCACAATTGTTCTTGTTAGGTATTGTTTCTAATTGTGATTGTAAAGAGACTACATTAATGTTAAATTTAATTACAGCGGCCAGGTTGTTAGTAGGGCAATGTTGGAAGAAGGAATCTTTGCCTACGTTGCAAGAATGGTTTCTTAAAGTTTCTTATTTGGCGGAAATGGCAAAGATTTCGGCTTTCTTGAAAGATCAATCGCAAGAGAAGTACCTCCTGGTATGGAAAAGATGGATAGATTTCATACAATATAAGTTGGATATAAAAAAATATTATTTAGTTTTTGAATAATTTATATTTAAAGTTTAAGATATTTTATAGATTTTTTTTTAATTTTTTATTTTCCTTTTTTATTTTATCTTTTCTTTTTCTGTTTCTTTTCTTTCTTTCTTCTTGTTTTCTTTATATATTGTTGTTAACTATTTTATAATTTGTTTAATCGATGTATTTAGATTTGCTTATGGTTTATACGTGTTTTAAGATTTTTTTAAAATTTTAATTAAGTCTGTATTCAGCTCTGGGAAGGTCCGGGGAGGGTAAGGGAGGGTTGGGAGGGTTCGGGGAAGGGAATTTCTTTTTTGTAAAACTTAAAAAATTTTTAATAAAAAAAAAAACCTGGTTGCTCTAACACAGGGGTCCCCAACCTGTGGACCGGGACAGGCTGGCCAGTGCGTGCATATGTGTGTGCACATCCCCTCACTCATGCTAGTGCCGCGGCCGCGGGACACAAAAACAGGATGCTGTGCTGCACGGTGCAAAAGAGGGCTACTGCTGCAGCTTGAGGTGCAAAAACAGGATGCCACCGCACTGCAGTGTGCAAAAATGGGCTGACACTGTGCCTCAGGACGCAAAAAGGGGACACCGCTGCAATGCGGAGCGCAAAAACAGCCGCGCCACGGGGTACAAAAATGGGATGCTGTTGCGCTTCAGGGTGCAGAAACGGCACTGTGCACAAGAATGGGGCGATGCTAGCGAGTATCATGCAAGCGCTAGCACTGCCCCGTTTGTGTCACGCGCATGCTTGCGGCCCTGTGCACGCATGCGCATGTGCGCACATGTAAAATGCTTCCCCTCCCTTTCCTTCTGGTCCACCAACCAAGAAAGGTTGGTGACCTCTGCTCTAGCACACGGGTGTTAAACTCAATCACTTCATGTGATGTGATGTGACGTATTGCAACATTTTTTGCCTTTGTGGAGCTGGGGTGGGCGTGGCCTGTGTGAGATGCATCTGGCCCATGGGTCACCAGTTTGATACCCCTGCTCTAGAAGCTCATGGTGCAGATGTGTTGGGATATGTTTAAATAGCTTGCGGGGTGGGGTATTACTGGATTGTTACTTGGTGAATAAGAAAGAGTTATTTTTTATGCATTTGTTATTCTGTTGTTTTAGTCTTATTTATGAATGAAGGATATGTAAATTATTCATAAGAGGTAGTGATTAGAATGGCATAAATCTAGATAAATGAACTATTTGGGAAAGAGTCCAGAAAATTGTTTCAGGATGCTGCACAGGTAGTCCTCAAGTTACGAGTGTAATGGAGCTTGCACATTCCACTTGTAACTCAAAAACTCATGAGAGTGAATCTCATACCTCTAACGTGAAAATCCCCTGCTCGTTAAAATGCACGCAATTTGTTAAGTGCACATGAGGTATTGCAGAGTGGGGAAGGCCATGGGGGGGGGGCTAGGGATGGCCTCCCTGAACCACTAAGATATCTCATGCTTTCCACTCCCTTCTTGCCGCGCTGGAGTCACTTACCTTGAAAAGATCTGTCTCCTCTCTGCTGTGGTTCCTGCTTTTGAGGGACAGGAGAGTCAATGGAAGCCCCTGGGTGCTATAATATCGCACGAGTTCAGGCACCAATCCTTTTTTGCAGAGAATGCCTGAACTCTCATACTATTTGCGGTGCCTGCCTCATGCTCCCCCCCCCAGCTCCGGAGCCATGCGGTCGCTGCCCCCGGAACGGAAATCGGAGGAAGCTTTTGCATGCCTCTGGAGGTTGGATCCAGGCCTTTGAAGACTGCTCCAAACTGCTGCTGCACAGAACGGAGCTTCCGGAGGTTGGATCCAGGCCTCAGAGGGGTCCTCCAAGCCGTGTGCACCCAAACAGAGATCAGGGGAGGATTATGCATGTCTCTGGAGATGGTTCCAAGCCTCGGAGAGGTTCTCCAAGCTGCTGCTGCCCAGGACAGAGATCGGGGGAGACTTCAGCATGCCTCCAGAGGTTGGATCCAGGCGTCAGAAGACTGCTCCAAGCTGCTGCTGCCTGGAACAGAGCTTCTGAAGGTTGGATCCAGGCCTTGGAGGAGTCCTCCAAGCTGTTTGCACCTGGAACGGAGATCAGGGGAGACTTCTTCATGCCTCCGGAGGTTGGATCTAAGCCTCGGAAGACTACTCCAAATTTCTGCTGCCCGAAACAGAGCTTCCAGAGGTTGGATCCAGGCCCCGGAGGAGTCCTCCAAGCTGTTTGCGCCTGGAACAGAGATCAGGGGAGACTTCTGCATGCCTCTGGATGTTGGATCCAGGCCTCAGAGGACTGCTGCAAGCTGCTGCTGCCCCGAACGGAGTCTCTGGACCTCTCTTGACCTCTGTTCCAGGCGCAAACAGCTTGGAGGACCCTCCGAGTCCTGTATCCAGCCTCCAGAGGCATGCAGAAGCCTCCCCGAATCTCCGTTCCGGGCAGCAGTAGCTTGGAGGACCCCTCCAAGGCCTGGATCCAACCTCTGGAGCATGCAGAAACCTCCCCCGATCTCCATTCTGGGCAGCAGCACTTGGAAGACTCTCCGAGGCCTGGATCCAACATCTGGAAGCTACATTCTGGGCAGCGCAGCTCAGAGCAGTCTTCTGAGGCCTGCATCCATCTTCCAAAGGCATGCAGAAGTCTTCCCCCGATTTCCATTCTGGGCACAAACAGCTTGGAAGACCTCTCTGAAGCCTGGATCCAACCTCTGGAAGTTCTGTTCTGGGCAGCTTGGAGGACACCTCTAAGGCTCCAGGGAGGAATAGGGTGAATGTTGCAGAGCCTCTGCAGTCGCTTGTAAGGGCAAACGACTGCCGTGGTGCTGCAATATTCGTAATTGTGGGACTTGCTCATAAACACTAGGGGGCACCAATCGTGTAACTTCGAACAAACGTTAAATGAATGCTCGTAGCTCGGGGATTACCTGTACTTTGTGTATAGTAAACATTTTTAATAGCTTTCCATGCATTTTCTGCTTTAAAATGTATTTTTCATTGGGAACATTACCTCTTTCAAACAAAATGAATCCTAAACCTTTTATTGTTCAGCAATACTTTGGATTCACTTCAGTTGTTTTATTCTTATCCAGCCCATTATGTAACTTAGACAATATTCTATATTATTGACAACTCATAATGAATAATAGAATTTTTTGCTGTCAACATATTGAGAGCATTTCACTTTAGTATTTTGGATGATTATTTCACGTATATGTATATAAAATACAGATAATTGGCAAAAAAAATTAAAAGGTTGCAGACCAATAGCTCAAGTACCAAACAATTTCCTCCTTAGTTTTAAGTTGGATTTTTCTTTTCTTTTTTTTAATTGAAAAGTTTTATACAATATACATCCCAAAACCCACCCACCCCTACCCCCCTCCCCACTTCCCAGAGCTGAATACAGGGTTACAAATAAATAATCAAATTCTAAACAAAAAACATTACCCAACTATACAAATAACCAAATCCATAATGCACTTTAACTCCCTTATAACATAAATATAAACAAATTAAAAATAAATATAATAATATAAACAAATCAATATTGTTAAACCATAATAATA